ATCTGAGCCACGCTTAATATTTCATTACGGGTATTTGGACGTGGTATGATCATTAACAATATTGTCACGATCGATAATTACGATTGCGTAGTGAGTTCGATACGCAGACGGTCCTGAATACTTCCGTTATTTTGCCGCATCTGAGCCACGCTTAATATTTCATTACGGGTATTTGGACGTGGTATGATCATTAAGAATATTGTCACGATCGATAATTACGATTGCGTAGTGAGTTCGATACGCAGACGGTGCTGAACACTTCCGTTATTTTGCCGCATCTGAGCTACGTTTAATATTTCATTACGGGTATTTGGACGTGGTATGATCATTAAGAATATTGTCACGATCGATAATTACGATTGCGTAGTGCGTTCGATACGCAGACGGTCCTGAATACTTCCGTTATTTTGCCGCATCTGAGCACGTTTAATATTTCATTACGGTATTTGGACGTGGTATGATCATTAAGAATATTGTCACGATCGATAATTACGATTGCGTAGTGCGTTCGATACGCAGACGGTGCTGAACACTTCCGTTATTTTGCCGCATCTGAGCTACGCTTAATATTTCATTACGGGTATTTGGACGTGGTGATGATCATTAAAGAATATTGTCGTTTTTTTGCCGATCGATAATTACGATTGACGTAGTGAGTTCGATACGCAGACGGTGCTGAACGTGGTATGACTTCCGTTATTTTGCCGCATCTGAGCTACGCGTTATTTTAATATTTCATTACGGGTATTTGGACGTGGTATGATCATTAAGAATATTGTCACGATCGATAATTACGATTGCGTAGTGAGTTCGATACGCAGACGGTCCTGAATACTTCCGTTATTTTGCCGCATCTGAGCTACGCTTAATATTTCATTACGGGTATTTGGACGTGGTATGATCATTAACAATATTGTCACGATCGATAATTACGATTGAGTAGTGCGTTCGATACGCAGACGGTGCTGAACACTTCCGTTATTTTGCCGCATCTGAGCCACGCTTAATGGACGTGGTTTCATTTACGGGTATTTGGACGTGGTGATGATCATTTGTCGCAATATTATTTCATTACGGGATCGATAAGAATATTGTCACGATCGATAATTGATTGGTAGTGCGTTCGATACGCAGACGGTGCTGAACACTTCCGTTATTTTGCCGCATCTGAGCTACGCTTAATATTTCATTACGGGTATTTGGACGTGGTATGATCATTAAGAATATTGTCACGATCGATAATTACGATTGAGTAGTGAGTTCGATACGCAGACGGTCCTGAATACTTCCGTTATTTTGCCGCATCTGAGCTACGCTTAATATTTCATTACGGGTATTTCGTGGTATTTGGACCGATCATTAACAATATTGTCGATCGATAATTACGATTGAGTAGTGCGTTCGATACGCAGACGGTGCTGAACACTTCGTTGTTTTGCCGCATCGAGCTACGCTTAATATTTCATTACGGGTATTTGGACGTGGTATGATCATTAACAATATTGTCACGATCGATAATTACGATTGAGTAGTGAGTTCGATACGCAGACGGTGCTGAACACTTCCGTTATTTTGCCGCATCTGAGCTACGCTTAATATTTCATTACGGGTATTTGGACGTGGTATGATCATTAAGAATATTGTCACGATCGATAATTACGATTGAGTAGTGCGTTCGATACGCAGACGGTGCTGAACACTTCCGTTATTTTGCCGCATCAGGCTGCGGCAATATTTCATTACGGGTATTTGGACGTGGTATGATCATTAAGAATATTATACGATCGATAATTACGATTGCGTAGTGCGTTCGATACGCAGACGGTGCTGAACACTTCCGTTATTTTGCCGCATCTGAGCTACGCCAATATTTCATTACGGGTATTTGGACGTGGTATGATCATTAAGAATATTGTCACGATCGATAATTACGATTGAGTAGTGCGTTCGATACGCAGACGGTGCTGAATACTTCCGTTATTTTGCCGCATCTGAGCCGCTTAATATTTCATTACGGGTATTTGGACGTGGTATGATCATTAACAAATATTGTCACGATCGATAATTACGATTGCAATATTTCGTAGTGCGTTCGATACGCAGACGGTGCTGAACACTTCCGTTATTTTGCCGCATCTGAGCTACGCTTAATATTTCATTACGGGTATTTGGACGTGGTATGATCATTAACAATATTGTCACGATCGATAATTACGATTGCGTAGTGCGTTCGATACGCAGACGGTGCTGAACACTTCCGTTATTTTGCCGCATCTGAGCTACGCTTAATATTTCATTACGGGTATTTGGACGTGGTATGATCATTAAGAATATTGTCACGATCGATAATTACGATTGAGTAGTGCGTTCGATACGCAGACGGTGCCGCATCTGAATACTTCCGTTATTTTGTCCGATCATCGATTGAGTTCGATACGCAGACGGGTCCTAATATTTCATTACGGGTATTTGGACGTGGTATGATCATTAAGAATATTGTCACGATCGATAATTACGATTGAGTAGTGCGTTCGATACGCAGACGGTGCTGAACACTTCCGTTATTTTGCCGCATCTGAGCTACGCTTATTTTTCATTACGGGTATTTGGACGTGGTATGATCATTAAGAATATTGTCACGATCGATAATTACGATTGAGTAGTGCGTTCGATACGCAGACGGTGCTGAACACTTCCGTTGTTTTTGTCGCATCTGAGCCACGCTTAATATTTCATTACGGGTATTTGGACGTGGTATGATCATTAAGAATATTGTCACGATCGATAATTACGATTGAGTAGTGCGTTCGATACGCAGACGGTGCTGAACACTTCCGTTATTTTGCCGCATCTGAGCTACCTTAATATTTCATTACGGGTATTTGGACGTGGTATGATCATTAAGAATATTGTCACGATCGATAATTACGATTGAGTAGTGAGTTCGATACGACGGTCCTGAATACTTCCGTTATTTTCGCATACGCACGTTTAATATTTCATTACGGGTATTTGGACGTGGTATGATCATTAACAATATTGTCGATCGTTACGATTGAGTAGTGCGTTCGATACGCAGACGGTGCTGAACTTCCGTTATTTTGCCGCATCTTTAATATTTCATTACGGGTATTTGGACGTGGTATGATCATTAACAATATTGTCACGATCGATAATTACGATTGCGTAGTGCGTCCGATACGCAGACGGTGCTGAACACTTCCGTTATTTTGCCGCATCTGAGCTACGCTTAATATTTCATTACGGGTATTTGGACGTGGTATGATCATTAAAGAATATTGTCACGATCGATAATTACGATTGGTAGTGAGTTCGATACGCAGACGGTGCTGAACACTTCCGTTATTTTGCGGCATCTGAGCCACGCTTAATATTTCATTACGGGTATTTGGACGTGGTATGATCATTAAGAATATTGTCACGATCGAGAATTACGATTGCGTAGTGAGTTCGATACGCAGACGGTCCTGAACACTTCCGTTATTTTGCCGCATCTGAGCTACGCTTAATATTTCATTACGGGTATTTGGACGTGGTATGATCATTAACAATATTGTCACGATCGATAATTACGATTGCGTAGTGAGTTCGATACGCAGACGGTGCTGAACACTTCCGTTATTTTGCCGCATCTGAGCTACGCTTAAATATTTCATTACGGGTATTTGGACGTGGTATGATCATTAACAATATTGTCACGATCGATAATTACGATTGCGTAGTGCGTTCGATACGCAGACGGTGCTGAAACTTCCGTTATTTTGCCGCATCTGAGCCACGCTTAATATTTCATTACGGGTATTTGGACGTGATATGATCATTAAGAATATTGTCACGATCGATAATTACGATTGCGTAGTGCGTTCGATACGCAGACGGTGCTGAACACTTCCGTTATTTTGCCGCATCTGAGCCACGCTTAATATTTCATTACGGGTATTTGGACGTGGTATGATCATTAAGAATATTGTCACGATCGATAATTACGATTGCGTAGTGCGTTCGATACGCAGACGGTGCTGAATACTTCCGTTATTTTGCCGCATCTGAGCTACGCTTAATATTTCATTACGGGTATTTGGACGTGGTATGACGATCGATAAACGAATATTGATCACGATCGATTTTAATTACGCTGTCATTTCATTGATTGCGTAGTGAATATTGTTCGATACGCAGACGGTGCTGAACACTTCCGTTATTTTGCCGCATCTGAGCCGCTTAATATTTCATTACGGGTATTTGGACGTGGTATGATCATTAAGAATATTGTCACGATCGATAATTACGATTGCGTAGTGCGTTCGATACGCAGACGGTGCTGAACACTTCCGTTATTTTGCCGCATCTGAGCTACGCTTAATATTTCATTACGGGTATTTGGACGTGGTATGATCATTAAGAATATTGTCACGATCGATAATTACGATTGCGTAGTGAGTTCGATACGCAGACGGTCCTGAACACTTCCGTTATTTTGCCGCATCTTAGCCACGCTTAATATTTCATTACGGGTATTTGGACGTGGTATGATCATTAAGAATATTGTCACGATCGATAATTACGATTGCGTGGTGCGTTCGATACGCAGACGGTGCTGAATACTTCCGTTATTTTGCCGCATCTGAGCTACGCCTAATATTTCATTACGGGTATTTGGACGTGGTATGATCATTAACAATATTGTCACGATCGATAATTACGATTGAGTAGTGATTTCGATACGCAGACGGTGCTGAACACTTCCGCTATTTTGCCGCATCTAAGTTACGCGTAGAATTTCATTACGAGTATTTAGATGTGGTATGATCATTGTCTTGTCACGATCGATAATTATTGCGTAGTGAGTTACAGACGGTCCTGAGTACTTCCGTTATTTTCGCATCCGCTGTGTTTTTTCTACGGGTATTTTGGCCTTCTAGAATATTGTCACGATCGATAATTTCGATTGCGTGTGCTTCGATCAGACGGTGCTGAAAATGCCCGCATCTGAGCTACGCCTACTAGACGGGTATTTGGATGTATGACATTAACAAATTGTCACGATCGAAATCTAGTAGTGATTTCATGCGACGGTGCTGAAATCCGCTATTTTGCCGCAAAACGCGTAGAATTTATTCGAGTATTTAGATGTGGAAAAATTGTATTTAATGTAGTAGTTTCGCAGTTTTCTCTACAGTTTTTTTACAATGGGCTGGAATCAAAAACGATTTAATCTATACATGGTGAAGCAATTTATCCTACCAAAATTTCTGAATATACCGCGGGCTGGTTGATTTAATCTTGATGGTGAAGCAGTAACTGTTTTATTCCCGACTGTTTTATTCCCGCGGCTTAAGTTAGGTTGTGTCCAGTGAATAAAATTGTTTAGACGAGAGTAAACCACACTAGGTTATAATACAACCTTTTCTTTTCCAATTGTAATAAGATGATTATTATTGTATCCACATGATGATACTCGGAGTTACTATGAACCAGATAGTGTCAGACAACATCAGATATTTATTGTATTCATTATACAGCCGTCAAGATTGAAGAATGTTCATTTTTATAATTGACTTTTCTACGGTTTAATTTAATAGTAACAGCTCTGTATACTCTAGTACAGTGGTTCTCAAACTTTTTTTTATCTGGGCTGCATATTTGGAAAGAAAATTTACTCGCGCCCCACCAAATTGAATGTGATAAAAAAAAACTGCATTTAAAGATATGAAATAAACACAAAGATGTTTAAATACAGATAACCGCGTATTCGAAAACTGAACATTTCCAGTGATAACGCTCTCCTCCAATTTGCAGAGCCTTGTTACTATATTCTTAATACTTGATATAATGCAAAAATATCACAATGTTAAAATCGATTAGTAATTATTTATAACTATTTATACTTAGATTCATCTATGCAATTAAAATTAATCCATAATAATATTTGAAATTTTGAAATTATATTTATTTTTGGCATATGATATTTTTGAAACGGTTTCTAAATATTTGATTGGCTTTCAATCATTCCACCTGACCTGTTATCCACTTCCGCTGGAACTATTAGGCGCGCCATAATATTTAGGAATCCCTGCTCCAGAGCAATCTGTTTATTTCTACCCAATAGCTGTATTAATTGAAAAGATTTAGTTCCATTTTAGAAATGTGGAGACTCGATTATTGCTGAATTAATTAATATCAGCCATTTTCGTGCTGAATCAAAAGAGACGTTATCGCCTAAGCGTGTATTACGTACGGAACTTAACTGACTGACTGAATTACTTCTATGAATAGGAATAAGTTTTAGTAGTAAGTCTTGACAAACACGGATTAGCCACTGATTTTAATATCGTTTTTATAAAATGTAGATCTGTTTCATTTTTAATTAAGCATGTTCATCGGCCATTTTCAGACGTGTTCTTTTATGAACTATGTAAAAACAACAACAAAAAAAAAATTATATGTTTGTTCTATTTTAAATGAGGTGATTCGATTAGATGTGAACTGACTGAAGATTATGATACTCTCAACATTTTAGTAACGGTCTTGACTCCTCCAACTAAGAGAAAGTGGAGCTTCATATTTATTTTTAAAATATCGAAGAGATTTTTTTTTAACTATTCCATCCGTTTTTCATTCTTTTATATAAATTTCCTTTGTTGTTTATTTATTCTAAGGGAAATCGTTTTTCCCTTATATTTCATTAATTTCAACCGTTCTCTTTGCTTTTTAATTTTTTTCTGGTTTTCATTTTATCATTCAATTTACCTATCTTGCTTTGTTTGATTGTTTCTTTCATTTTTTTCTTTTTCTTCTTTTTTTGTTTCTTTCTTTCACTTCGCAATTAGATTTTATTTATTTGTTGTTATTATTCCTTTCCTAGTTTAAAATTTACTTTTTAATTTCTTTTTGGTTTCTATCCTACACTTTCTTTCTTTCCTTCTTTCTTTCTTTCTTTCCTTCTTTCTTTCTTTCTTTCTTTCTTTCTTTCTTACACTTTTTCATTACATTTTTATTTGCTTTTATTATTTCATTCCTATTTTAATCTTTTATTTTTTCTTTCTTTCTTTCTTTTCTTGTCTTCTTTCTTTCTTTCTTTCTTTTTTCTATATTTCTTTCTTTCACTTCCTCATTACAATTTATTTATCAGCTGTTATTATTCTTTTCTTATTTTAATCTTTCTTTCCATCTTTTTTCCTTCTTTATTTTCTTTCTTTCCCTTTTTTCTTTCTTTCTTTCTTTCTTTCTTTTTTCTTTCTTTCTTTTAGTTACTCACTGTATTTTATTTGATTTTATTTTTCCTTTCCTATTATAATCATTTCTTTCTTTCTTTCTTTCTTTCTTTCTTTCTTTCTTTCTTTCTTTTTTTATTTTCTTTCTTATTTCTTTTTCTTTTTTTTTTTCTTTCTTTCTTTCTTTCTTTCTTTCTTAACACTATATTTCTTTCCTTCTTTCTTTCTTTCTTTATTTATTTACTAGGATTATATTTCTTTTCTTTCTTTCCTTAATAGGATTATATTTCCTTCTTTCTTAGATTATATTTCTTTCTTTCTTTCTTAGGATTATATTTCTTTCTTTATTTATTTCTTCTTTCTTTATTTATTTATTTACTAGGATTATATTTCTTTTTTTTTTCTTTCTTAGGACTATATTTCTTTCCTTCTTTCTTTCTTTCTTTCTTTCTTTCTTTATGTATTTACTAGGATTATATTTCTTTTCTTTCTTTCTTTCTTTCTTTCTTTCTTTCTTTCCTTAATAGGATTATATTTCTTTTCTTTCTTTCTTTCTTTCTTTCTTTCTTTCTTTCTTTCTTTCTTTAATAGGATTATATTTCTTTTCTTTCTTTCTTTCTTTCCTTAATAGGATTATATTTCTTTTCTTTTCTCTCTTTTTTTCTTTCTTTCTTTCTTTTTTCTTTCTTTCTTTCTTTCTTTATTTATTTATTTATTTACTAGGATTATATTTCATTCTTTTTTTCTTTCTTAGGATTATATTTCTTTCCTTCTTTCTTTTTTTCTTTCTTTCTTTCTTTCTTTCTTTCTTTCTTTCTTTCTTTATGTATTTATTAGGATTATATTTCTATTCTTTCTTTCTTTCTTACTTTCTTTCTTTAATAGGATTATATTTCTTTCTTTCTTTCTTTCTTTCTTTCTTTCTTTCTTTCTTTCTTTCACGTCCTTCATTCCTTTGCCATAAACACAGTTCTCATAGCATTTCTCTAACATTTATCTTTTACTTTCTTTTTAGCCGTCAGTTTTTTTTCTCCCCCTTTTTTTCCGTTTAATTTAACCGTATTTAACCTTCCTTTCCGGCATTTATATTCATTTATCACTGTCTATTTATCGAGTGGTTTTTTCTGCTCCTCGCCTCAGATATCACTTAACCTTTTCCTTGTCCTGGTTGTCGCCCCTGTTTCCAGAGAGTCGATCCAAATTTAGCTTCTTCTGACAAGTTACTAAAACACATTTTTTTCTTTACACACACATACCCACGGACAGATGCATAGACATTAAGGTTACAGACACACGAACGAGCGCGCACACACACACACACACACACACACACACACACACACACACACACACACACACACACACACACACACACCTACCTACACACGGAGAAAGGCACACTGACACACACATAAACACAAATATACACACATTTAGTCGTGGAGCTAATAGAAAATAATTTTGAAATGAAAACAAAGACCGAATCAAATTAAAAAAAACATTTCTGTTTTTGCCACCCAGCTTCATCTATCTATCTATCTATCTATCTATCTATCTATCTATCTATCTATCCCGTTCATATCTCTCTCTGTCAATCTATTTCAGTTTGTTTCTATCTATCAATTTTCGTAGGTAGGTAGGTGTGTAGGATGATGTGTATGTAGGTATGTATATATGTATGTAGGTAGGTAGTTTATCAAATCAGATCTATCTATCTATCTATTTATCTATCTATCTATCTATCTATCTATCTATCTATCTATCTATCTCTATCTGCTTACTTATATTTACCTAATAGGAGGCTCTCTCAGTAATTATATATCATTATGTCTATCCATACATTTCCACACGATTTCTCATCTATCTATCTATCTATCTATCTATCTATCTATCTAAGCAGATACAGAAAAATCTGACTAACTGTGCTCAAATTCATTGTTTGATCTCGACAAATGTTCAGCAAGCTTCAATGAATTCCTATGCTTGCAATTTTCCGTATAGCCGAAGCCAATAATATCTCCTCTTTGTGCGCACCTCCATGTTAGACACCATACTCAGCTATTCATTGTTAGAAGGTAAAACAAATCGCTTATCGGCAGGATAGTTCGACCTCAGTTGCCATAAGAATACCATAATTAAATAGGCAGCATTTCTTTTGGAGCAATATTCGTCTACACACACACACACATACACACACACACACACACACACACACACACACACACACACATATATATATATATATATATATATATATATATATATATATATGTTATAAGTTAAAGAACTTGGTAATCCGTATGGGTAATCCCAAGGAGGATGAAATCCTGAGAGCTCAATGTAAATCCAGGCTAATATTTATATATATATATATATATATATATCCAGAGCTAATATATATATATATATATATATATCTAAATAAGGCAAGCCATATTTGTTTTCTTAAATTTGACCGGAACACCATCATATATATATATATATATATATATATATATATATATATATATATATATATATATATATATATACCGAGTGTAACAGCAATATTGTCCAAATCCTATGAACATAAAATTGTCCAGATTTATAAGATTTTATAACACTATATGAGTTCACTTTGAGCAATAAGAATGTATAATTACTCTCCAGGCTTTACAGATGAATCGTGATCAAATCGATCATAAATGAAAATGGCATATTCATCATTAATAAGGGTCAGAAGCTCATTAATAATTGAAATTAAGTTTATATATATATATATATAATTTCAGGATCATTTTCTAACCAAGTCAAGATGATCTTCGGCTTCTCTAGCCTTCTAACTTTCTGTCCTAGAGCAATAAAGTGCCTCAAGTACGATTTCACGGTCTTTTTTTTCACTGCACTTTGGGCTGTCATATCTGAACCTCCCCTCTTACGTGACAAACGTCTTACGGATTGAGTTGGATATTTCCTAACTGGTCTTTTTAGCTCTAAGTTGAAATGAGGACCTCTCTTCCTGTTATGACCTCGTGATCCACTTCTTCTACTGTTCCCTCTTTTTTTAAACTTATTCGCCATTCCCTTGATGGTTTTTGAATGCTATTTGCAGATGGAAAGCAGATTATGAATGTTGGTATCATTACTGAAGACCTGAATGATCATTCCTTTTGGAAGACAGTGGTTCTGGCACAAACGATTTTAACCTCTGCTGAATAACCCAAAGTGGGTTTACAGTGATTCTTAGGATAAATTGTAACAAGATGGCTAAACGTCTTATAGGAAAACTTGGAAAAAAAAGGAACTCATTTAGTTGAGTGATATGAAACACCTTGTTGTATGGACAATTATATTGTACCACGCTTTAAACAATTTTGCTGTCACACACACACACACACACACACACACACACACACACACACACACACACACACACACACACATATATATATATATCCAGCTATGGGTTAAATAGCAGGACAGACTGGGTTTTATAGCCTTGGATGGCAACTGGTCTAGGAGAAGGACAACTCTAAATTCAAAACCTGAGGGGGGTTGTTTGGGACCTTGTGGCACGTAGTGCACCAGGTCGCTGTATTCGGCCCTTCAAAAAGTGTGGATGGTCCTGCTCGAGGCCTTCACCACTATAATCGAATCTCATGTGCCGGTGTCGGGCTGTCAGTTTCCTGGAAACTGATCTGCTTGACCCTCATACGACGAACCCGACGGGAGAATCGATTTGAATTTATATATATATATATATATATATATATATATATATATATATATGATTAGTTTTCTAAACTGAAGGAGAAATGACACGTCTTTTTGAAGTTCCCAAAGTCAGTTATTTGGCATGGGCAGGAGGTTGCCATTTCTTTCGGCGGTAGACCAGTTTCTATCCAAGACTATAGAACTCTATATGTCCTGCTATTTACCCATAGCTGGGCGGGGGGAGGATTCATACCTTTCCAAAAGGTATTAGCACGTAAGAATTCGTTTGGAATTTGAACTCGGCTCTCCGATTCCTCAATCCGAGCCCTTTCCAAACTCAACTGAAAAACGTAAATATTGCTTAAATTATAAAGATTTAATATAATTTACAATTATTATTTCTTTTCTTTTATTTATTATATATATTATACTTATTTTATTTATTTGAAGTAATGTATGTATTGTTTATTATTATTTCTTTCAATCTTTTTCACGGTTTTCGGATTCTTCTGTTTTAGTATTTATTTGTTTTTATACAACTAACCCTGAAGATCGTTTGTCTTATTTTTACTTTCTGCTTTTACTTACTAAAGCTATATTTATCAATTTTGCATTTTCTACTCCCGTTCATTGTTTTATCAGTTGATAGCTGAGGCTTTAGTACCGTCAAAAAGGCAGTATAAATTATTTTACTGTACGTCAAATAATGACTTTCTAATCCCCGAGTATTTTCGGCTTAAATCCCGATTTATATTTTCATCTTTTCTTTCTGCTATCTCTTCTAAAAAATTTTTTTTCGATATTTGTGTTTGTTGAATAATCTACTCTTTCGGTATTTGCCTTCCTTTCTATTTTTTTTTGTTTTGTTTACCTAATGTTTTTTGTTTGAGTTTCTAAAACACATATTGCATATCATTTTTTATGTATATATATATATATATATATATATATATATATATATATATAATTATTTATTTAAAAATTTATAACATAAATATGTTATAAAATCACTACAAAAATAGCCATTTGTTTTTCAAAACCTCCGATGTCTTATCAAGTTGAGACATTCAAACATCATTTTGATAAGACATTTTATGTTAATAAATATGTTATGAATTTTTAAAATAAATAAAATATATCTATCTACTCTCGGTATTGAGCACTCTTTTAAGAATAGTAATTGTTGGATATTGGAATTCATTGCGTAATTATATATATATATATATATATATATATATATATATATATATATATATATATATACCCTACCTCAGCTTGACCTCTCCCGGAAGGTGAATGATATGTGGATAAAAATGGTCGCCCCAGCTGTTTCCATAGTAACGAATGAACACGCTTATAACGATGCGTAATTTTCAAAATTGGTTATTCCTAAATTTTCGCTTGAGGATGAAACAGGGCTTGATACTTTAATTCAATTTAATTTTAATAATTATATTGATGGTTTCGGCTCTCGTTTTTGAAACATGAGAACTCTTATGTAGCGAAGAAATCATATTTAAAAAAATAATTATGATCTAAGCTCTACTTCTGTAGGGAGCACTGTTTTTTAAAAATAAAAACAAAAATACTAAAGAAACCCGGATTATTTACCTAACGTGTTCTTTCCTATTTTTCTACATACCTGCACACACACACACACACACACACACACACACACACACATATATATATATATATATATATATATATATATATATATATATTCCAAAGGTTGTCATCGCCGGAGGTCAGAGTGGGTTCAAGTTCCGAAATATCTAAATAAAATGCTTCCTTAGCATATGCGTTTTAAATATCCTCTGAAAATGAAGCCAAGCTTCAAGCCGTAAAATATGCGAAGGCGGAAAACTATCACCTCAAAACCAGCTGACCGGATGATATGGAGCTCGACAGCGCAGAAATGCAGTCCATCTTGGACAAGGAAAACCCTGATTTTAAACCTCAACTGTCTTGCGGTGATTTCAAAACACGGAAAGAATTATGGAAGTAAATCTAGACAGAAAACCGAAAGTTGATATCTGAAGGCGGTTGGATGTTAACACAGACAATTTATCCGGTAAGTTCTACAGCCAATTCGTCCCTATAGTTAGTGTCATGGGACCTTACCCATAATAACATAATGGACTATCCCATACGTAATAAATCAATAGGGAGCAGGGAGTTCAGTCCGAAGTCGGGCGACCGGCAGATCGGCTGATCGGTTGAACTTTCTGCCTTCGGGCGGGGAGGAACCCGAACGAGGCTACGTCGCAAAACGGAGTCTCATTCGGGGAGGTAAACCGACCCTGAACCCGTTTATACGGTTTCAAAGGGCATATTTTTGGCCGAGCCCATGGGCTCGGAGATCTCGTGGGCTCGGAGATCCCATGTTAAATCGGCCTTGTGCCACATGATGCCCTCTTGGGTGGGTGACTAGATATCGTTCAGTCTGAAGTCGGACGACCGGCTGATCGGTTGAACTCTCTGCCTTCGGGCAGGGAGGAACCCGAACGAGGCTACGCCGAAGGGCGGAGTCTCTTTCGGGAAGGTAAACCGACCCTGAACCCGTTTATACGGGTTCAAAGGCCCTTTTTTTTGGCCGAGCACACGACCTCGGTGATCCCACGTTAAACCGGCCTTGTGCCACATGATGCCCTGGTGGGATTTGTGACTAAATACTGTACAGTCTGAAGTCTGGAGTGAGGTCCGTCAGAAGTCTGTCAGTCAGAGCGAGCGAGTCAGTCAGTCGAGTCAGTCAGTCGAGTCAGAGGCAGTCCGAAACAGACAATTACTACTAAACCTGATTGTTCGTACTAACATTTTCTACTTCTCTGTATATATTCCTGTTTGTAATATATCTGTGTTATTCCATATCCGTGTTCGAGTTCTTCTTTATTGGTGCTACCTTGGACTATCACCGTGGTACAAGGAACCGGACAATAACAGTTAGTTTCCTTTAGATCTTGTTGGTACGGCTGAGAGAAGATGACATGTATTCTGGACCGAGCACAGCCATCATATGCCATCACCCTGGAGTGTTCACTCCAATTACACCACCAAAGGATTGGAATGAGACAAAACAGGCAGCTACGTTTATCTATCTAGATAAACGGATGCATACTATATATATATATATATATATATATATATATATATATATATATATCTGCTCTACTTTATTGAGCACTTTATTTACTTATTTTGCT